ATACGGTCGACCGTTGAGTCTTCTCCCGAGGGTCCGTCATTCTGCCCTTCCGACGGTCGACCGTGGTCATCGGCACAGTCCACTAGGTCGACCGTCTGTAGCTCTTCTGCAACTCCATTGCCCGGAGGGCGACCGTTCCTCCAGGAACGGTCCAGATGGTCCTCCGTGGATAGTTCCTCAGCATCTTCAAAGTAATCGGTGGCTGAGTTGCTCCTTCTCACCTGTGGAATATAAGAAAGAGAAAATATCTTCACAGAACACAACATCAGGAGACACACTGATCTTTCCGGTGTCCGGAACATAGTCACATAAATCGCGGTACGCTTCGGTACGGGTACGCGGTATGGGTACGAAATTCGCTAGATGTAACGAATTTGGTACGAAGGGGGGTAGGTTTATTTCGGTACGAAGTGGTACGAAGCGGTACGGTGTACCATGTATTCGGTTCGGTGTACCAAAAGTCAAAACATAAGCAAATAAAAATACTGGATATTGAGGACTTTAGATTGGGTTGTGGTTACTGGTTAGACTTGAGAGACATATATATATATATATATATATATATATATATATATATATATATATTTGGAGACTACCTAGGAAAAAATGAAACTTTAAAGGGAGAAGTCATAGAACAATAGAGAAAGGCACAGAGACTATGAAAGACTCGCACGGAACTTGGGGAAGTGCAATCGCAAATTGACCTTTTCAATTTACGGAGAGAGCAATCGCTTGGAAGAGGGAAGGTCGCTGGAGAGACGAAATTGCGATTTGGATCGCTGGACCGCTGGCGATTGGTACTCCGTATTCTCCTACTTGGTGCGACGTTCTAGGGCATCTGGATCACCGGCGAATTGCGAATTGGAGCGCCGTACCACACCGATTTGGATCGCCGTACCGGTGGCGATCGGTTTGCCGGCGACTTGCGATCCGGTACGATTCGTACCAATTCGGAAATCGCGGCTAGGTAAGCGAATTCTGTAACTATGGTCCGGAAAATAAACACGCCATCCCTTCTTTCCTTGTGGATAACCCAAAAATATTCCAGAAATACTTCTGGGTGCAAATTTGTCTCCATCTCTCTTCAAATTGTGGACATAACATCTGCAACCAAAAACACGAATGTGAGTCAGCGACGGTGACCTTCCATAAAGCTTCTCATACGGTGTCACCCCCTAGCAATGACAAGGGTGTCCGATTGATCAAATAGGCTGTAGTTTGTATACAATCTCCCCAAAATTCGATCGGAAGACCGGCTTGAAACCTCATGGCACGACCCACATTCAGAATGTGTCGATGCTTACGTTCCACTCTACCATTCTGTTATGGTGTAGACACACAGGATGTCTCGTGAACAATTCCCTTTTCTTGGAAGTATTCATTCAAGCACTCAAATTCTGTACCATTATCACTACGAACACATTTTATTTTTCTACTCAAACTGACGTTCAATCATGGCACAAAATTGTTTAAAGACACTTCCTACAGTACGCTTAGAATCAAGCAAATACACCCATACACCACGAGAAAAGTCATCTACAATAGTCAAAAACATCGTAGATCCATCAAATCTCGGCGTCCGATAGGGACCCTACAAATCACAATGTACCATATCAAATTTATCCATAGATTGATTAAAGCTAATAGGAAAACTGGTACGAGTTTGTTTGGCACGTAAACAAATATCACAATGACTATGACTACTCTTATTCGATCCAACTACAAGAACTAAGGATAAAACATGTGAAGAAGGATGTCCTAGACGCTTATGCCAAAGATCAAAAGAATTCTCCTTCGTAACATTGCACGCCATTCTCCTTTCCTCCTTCTTTAGATAATATAGTCCTCCTTCTTGTCTACCCACACCAATCATTGTCCTCAACCTTAGGTCCTATAAGATACACAAATCATTGGTGAACTTCGCCTCACAATTCATATCCTTTGTCAGCTGTGACACAGAAATCAAATGACAATTCAAACTTGGGACAAACAACACATTCTGTAAAGTCATAGTCATTGTTAAGTCAACCTTTCCAGATTGAACAGATATAGCCCGTTTTCCATCAGGCAAACCAATTTCACATGGGGACACTCCCACCACATCATATAACAATGATAGATCATCTGTCATATGGTTGGACGCACCAGTATCAATTATCCAACGAGGTGATACAGGAATACCTGAAAGTTTATGAGAATTATCGCTGGAAGAAAGTGAGAGAGCATGACGAACAACATTCCACTGTTCAGACGTCAGATCCTCAAAATTAGGCAGTGGCGACAACTCTTCGCCCTGAACCGCATGGACTTCACTTCGACCGCCCGTGACGGTCGACCGTCCAGCACCAACGATTGACCGTCCCGCTCTTCTTCCTAGACCGCGGAAGTTTCCTCTCCCACGGTTGTTCCCTCTTCCTCTACCAGCCTGGTCTCGAAATACCCATCCCTCCGGGTATCCAATGAGCTTGTAACATGCCTCAACATCATGTCCTCCTTTGCCACAGTGAGAGCACACAAGCTCCTTGGCCTCCATCTTGTTCTTCACAGCAAACACAAACGCACATGCCTCCTTGCTTTCTCCTTTGTGCATCCCATTCCGTGATATTTCATCTTGGACAAGAATATTGTATATTCTTGCCACAGGTGGTATGGTTTCTTGGGCAAACAAGTTTGACCGCAAAGTCCCATACAAAGCATCATTCAATCCCATCAAAAATTGATGAGAATGTTCCCTCTCATGCATCTGCGCTAGCTTCTCTTGCAAGTCGCATGTGCAATTCCTACACGTGCAGACTGGGAATTGTTCTAAGTTTGTAAGATCATCCCACAGCTTCTCCATCTTTCCATAATATTCCATCACGGAAAGGTTCTTCTGTTTGCACTCTGCTAAGTCCCGCTTCAATTGCTGAACCCTAGGTCTGTTAACGACAGAGAAGCAAGCCTTCAGATCACTCCACAGAACTGATGCCTTATCCACAAAAGAAATACTGGATCTCAAGCCTAGATCGATCGTGTTTCGAATCCAAGAGACCAACAAAGAGTGGTTTGTCCACCAATCATCAAAATCATCCGAATCGGGATTAGGCATCTCGATTGTTCCATCAACAAATCCAAACTTCTTGCGTGCTCGAAGAGCCAAACGCAGAGATTTGGACCATTCATCATAATTATCTCCTTTCAGAACAACATGGGTTAAAATCATACCCGAATTGTCGCTCGGGGACAAATCGTACAGAGAGATGCGTCGGCGACGCACCCCAACTTCCTCTTCTTCTTGTTCCTCGTTCTTTTTGTTGGAAATAATCTTCTTGTTCACTTCCTCGGACATACCGGATGTCAGATCAACAATAGGGCAAAATCGCAGCGTTGATTAAGAATGACTGTTGTCGGGACGGTTGATGACCTCGACCGTTCTTCACTAACGCTCGACCGTTCCGGCGTCTGGCGGCTGCAGCGGGTGTTTGACCGATGGACGCGATGCCGATCGATCAAGAACAGTGGCTGCGAGAATTTTTAGATTTTAGGCTTTGATACCATGAAAGAATTATTTGGGAGAAATTTCTCTTGTATTTCTGATGATTACAATTTACAACCAAGGCACGTATATATAGATTCTCACAAGTCGAGAATCCTAACTAAACAAGGAAAGGGAATCCCTATACAAGTAAACTACTAATATAAGGAAATTACCAAAACTAATATATACGAAAATATATTCCAAATATTCTCTTTCCTTTTACACTTATCATAATTAATTAATTAATAACTAATTGATTACTCAGAAGGACCCAAAAATATGTGATTTATAAAGTTTGTCTATAAATAATGAAAATTCAATCGTTATGTAGAGTTTGATAGTCTGACCACAATGGTTCAATTTGATTTCAATTCGGAGAAAGTTGGACCAAAAAGTGTACCCCGACTGGTAGCCAAATAAGTCCCAATTAAGGACTTGCATTTAAAATCTGTAGGAATCGCCGCTCCATCCACTGAGACGCCGAACGAACATGAATAGTAACATGGGGTTATCTCCCATTTTTTATTCTCACCTCCTCCACTATATAAACCCTCAAACCTTCACCATTCTTCATCCAAAAGAGAGCTCTAAGTGTGAGGAGTGTTGTGGTGCTCTGAATTTGGTTTGAAGTCGCTAGAAGTTTTACTGGAAAATTCTCAAAAATGGACCCTAAGAAATTATTAAAACCTATATTTAGAGAGTAACAAAATTTAAGTACCTGCAAATTTCGTTATTATTTATAGTTAGGGGTGGGCACGGGCCGGTCCGAGCCAAGATTTGTATAAATTGGACTCGACTTGTTTTTTTTAAAACGGTCCGGGCCGGAACGGGTTTTCAAAATTTTAAAATTGAAACTGGACTTAACCCGGCTTGTTTGAAATGGGCCGATTCCACGGGTCAACGGGTCCGAACCTATCATGATACTAATATTAAAAAAATAAATGGATAATAAATTAATTTAAGTCATCCAACATAAAAAAAGAGGCGTAAATGAAAATAAAACAATGACAAAGAGGGACATGAGAGTAAAATGTACACCCCATGATCATCCAACAACAATAATAAAAAAAAGACAACCATATTTTAGCAGTATGATGTTAATGGGTTCCAAGAAGAACAAAATTCACAATCTTCATGGGTTCCGACTCTCTTACTATGAAAGATTTTCTTACTTTTCTACGCGCAATTGGAAGGACCAAAAGATTAAAGGGCTTAGGCGGTTATATTTCCATATATCCGTATGTTTACTAAAAATAATATTAAAAATAATATTGAGATTTAAAAAAACGGTTAGGTCCGGGTCCAATACAATTTCAAAATGAGGAACCGGACTGACCCTAAAATTTGTAAAAACCAGACCGACTCGAACCGTTTGAAATTTTTGAAAAGAGACCCGACCTAATCCCTACCAAACCTAGAGGTCCGGTTCAGACGGGAGGTTCCTGACCCGATTGCGTTATAGTAATGGATAATGGAGGTGGAGATGCTCTGGATCTGAGTTAGAAGAGAAGACACCCGCCTCTGAAGAACCAGCGGACCTTGTCCCTTGGGTGGGTAGCCTTGGGGCTCGTTTCCACGCAAGAGTTTACTCCTAACCCGTCAAGAAGCTACTTGTCCAGTTCTCAATATCATTCAGATCTGAGCGATCTTCTTCCTCCCCAATGGAGAACGCTTATGCCAGATCAGTACCCGAGGTATATATTCGTTCATATCCGGCTAATGATAAACAAAAAAGGTCTTCTCTAGCGTTTTGAAATTTCGATTCGTTAGCAGTATTGTGATTTGATACAATGCTATAAGTATTTGGACAGGTTCTTGAGTTTTTCGGAGTGGAACTATCTAAAGGTCTTACAGATTCACAGGTACTAGTTCTTCTTACTGTTATCATATCCTAACTCACAGCGAATCACATTCAATGCATTTGTTTTTTGGAATTGTTAACAATTTTGAATGACCGTGTCCATTTCCAATGGAGCAATAAGAATCATTTATAACATGGTTTTAGCTTCGGGACTAAATTGAGATGACATTTAACGTCCATTGCTCCTTACATTCTACTCTGGTAGCATATGCATTGAGGGTCTTATGGAAACATCCTCTCAATTTTTAACCTGGGCAAAGGTTGCTCACTTCTTGACCCACAGACCCTAATGGAGGTCGCATTATATCGTGTGTTGTTGTTGGTGTATAAAATCTGAATGCTAGTTTGATCAATATGCAACGATTCAATTCAGTTTTACTCTTTAGATTTTTAGTTTTACTTTTTCTTTGTTGGTTGGTGAGCTAGTTCCATTTTCTTATTCGGATGGAATGCAAAGTTTCAATCTTTTCCCCTTTCTCAGGTTGCACGACATGCTAGATTGTATGGAAGAAATGGTAAGCACTCCCAACCTGTTTCTGCATTCTTATTCATATAATCTTATGCAGTTTTACACTTAGAGCCTGTTCTCTAGGGCTTAAACTCTTAACTTCCAGTTCCTTCCCATTTCTTCCAGTTCCTTCCAATTTCTTCCAGTTCCTTCTAGTTTTTCCAGTTTCAAATAGTTTTTTCAGTTTCTTCCAGTTTTTTTCCAACTATTCTAATTTTCTTCAAATTCTTTCTATTCCCCAACCAATTACTCTAAAAATGATATATTTTTAATGTGATTATTATTATTATTATTATTATTATTACAACTATTATGTTCATCTTTATAGTTTATAAATTATTTTTTTCATCTCACTATTTTTACGATTCACATTCATTATTATTTTTTTTCCAACTTTTTAATATGAATAAGACATTTTTTTATATAAGAACAGGCTCTTAATCTTGAATGCCAGGCATTATGGCTAGCATACACAACATTCTGTACCAGTGTAGTACATTAATATGTGATCACTTAATTTGTAAAAGAGGTTACAAATGGGCTGTCATTAGCATTTGATGAAAAAGTAGGCAGTTTTTAAACCCTCCCTAAATCATTATGGGTTCAGCTTGGTGCATGAAGAATGATTTGAAATGCTGGTTAACAGAGGAGAGAAAGTCTTATCAACCCACTCATTGTTGCATCTTATTTGTTAAGATGTACCCCTTACACATTGTCAACATAAATTAAGTGGTCAAGTGATCTTCTAAAATGCACATAAAAGAATTGTTCAATTTCTTTAATTTTGATTAATGTACATATGTTTGGACTAAGCCATTTTATATTCAACATTTCAATGAAATACTCATTCTGTCCAGATATAGATGTCATTCATTGATGTCAACATAGATGGTCTTTTAGATTATTCAACATAATTTGTTTACCAAATGTGAAAAATGGACAACTAATTTTGGCGCAAAAAAACAAAAAACGTGGGAAACAAAATCCAGATGGAAGGAGTATTTATTATGTTGTTCTATAAATTCATCATGGGCAAACTCAGTGTTCATTAGGACACATCTAGCTATGTACATGTATTCATTATAAAAATATTTGATTGGTCTATACTAGGACTTTGGGAGTTAAGCCGTAAGGGTTTGATTATGATCAGTCATCAGTGATACTAGACAACGTGACCTGAACAAGAATCTGAACTTGATATATTTTTTGTTGTGCTTCATTTTCTGTCTAACTAGTCTTCTACATGTAATATTTTCAATCCTTTTCCTTTGCTTCTCTAATGTCTTTTCCTTTGCTGCATTTGCTCATGAAACCAGTGCTGCCTCAAGAGAAAAGTGAGTTTGAGTACCCTCTCTCTTCAGCTCTCATCCCCTAATTCTACTTGCCCCCATCAGCTTCATTGGCATAACGTCATGGTTCTATTTAGGTACCTCTTTCTGGAAGCTTGTTCTGAAGCAATTCGATGATTTGCTGGTTAAAATATTAATTGTAGCTGCCTTCGTTTCGTTCTTTTTGGCATTGGCTAATGGAGAGACAGGGTTATCGGCTTTCTTGGAGCCTACTGTATGACCTTTTCAGTATCAATTATAATTGAAAATTTCTTTCATATGTTTATTTTGCTTTGGGAGTTGCATGCTTCTTAATAAAGTGAAATTATGTGGTTGAGATTTACATAAAATTCGTATAAAACATGCCAACCATTGAAATCTTTCCTTAATAGAAGTGTGTGAGTCAAACAAAAAAGGAATAAGTGAACTTCATATTTTGTGGCTAGGTGCGGTGCTGTGATGTTGTCTTTTAAAAAATTAGAACTGGAAAGGATAAGCGAATTTGACATGTGACCGTGCCTAAAGTGGTTCAAAAGACCCAATTGAACCTCTTTGGACCGGATATAGTTCAAACTTGTCTGAAACACTAATTCACTTTTTGTTTTTTAATTTCTCCCCAAAATATTGTAATTGAATTAATCTAATCTTTTGCAATATCATTTAGTGTTTTTAAATGTTTAAAAATGAACTATCCGACCAGAATTTAGTTCTTCCTAAAGCTTGTATAGTTAGTTACAGGGTATTATTTATCTCTCTTAATATGTTATCTTCATCTTTTTAATATTTCACTATCTTATTATATTTGTAGGTAATTATATTTATCTTTGAAGAAAAACTTTCCTTTTTTATACTATTATACTTTTATTTTGTATGTATTTATACATTATATATTTATATGTATATATTTTGTATTAACAATAATATAACTACATATTTTAGTATTTTTATTTATGAGGTCACCACTTGACTGGTTCAACTATATGTCAAATGGGTTAAACCAAGAACCAGTAAGGCCACTGGTTTAACTTCTGGCCCAGATTTGAAAATATTGGATGTGTGCAAGGAATAAGTATATATAGGTGTTCCAGAGAAGGCACAACATTAGAATGTGTTTGTTTTGAGATTGGTAGAATTTGAAGCCAGATATGCATAGGTGCAGCATATTACAGTTTGCATGGATATTGTTTCGATCCGTGGCCATTTTGGGAGAGCATTATGAATTTGTGATACACCTGGGGTGGAATCTTACCTACACTTTAATGGGCAGTGGGCAGTCTATGCAAAGTTGTCAACATTTATTGTTTTAGATTTTTAGAGCTGTTATACACTATGTTTGGCAAATGAAGGAAGTGGAGGGGAAGGAAATAGAGAGGAAATTCTACATCCTTTAGGTTGTTTGGTTGGAAGAAAATGGAAGGGAGAGAATTAAATTACCTTGCTTGGTTAAATGGAAGTTAGAAAGGAAAATAATTATAAAATAAAATTATAATTAACTTAAAAAAATATTTATCGAACACAAATGTTTTATATAACAATTTTATTATAGTGTGATTTTAAAAGTCAAGTTGGACAAACACACAAGGACGTAGGAAGTATATACTTAAAAATTTAATTTCATGTTTACAGTATAAGAATTTTTTTATTCAAAACAAGCTTATAGTCAACAGTTTAATTTTTTTTTCCGAAACGAGCTCAAAATAAAAAATATAAAAATTATTTTATTGAGTCAAAATTAGCTCAAAATAAAAAATATAACAATTTTTTTTACTTAGAAGTACTTCGTATTAAATAAATTAAAGATCATTGAAAAAAAATTAAATATCATAGAATTTTTAAATCGATTTTAAAATAATAATAATTATAAATTTGTTATTTTGTTCAAATTATATAAAAATAAAAAATAAATATGTGAGAGAACAAAGCTTAAAATGAGGGAAGAGAGCTCAAAGCCAAATTTCTCTTCCATTTCACTCAACGTGTGGAGGTTTTTTTCCCACTATCATTCAACTTCCCTCCCACTTCTTTCTTATTTCCTTCCCAACCTTCTTCCAACCAAACTATAGAAAATTTCAAATTTCCCTCCCATTTGCCTTCCACCCCCTCACTTCCCTTTCACTTCCCTTCATCCAAACAAAGCAGTAATGTTGACGTTCTTCATTACTTTCCTTATAAGGTAATTGTTGTAAACTTGTAATATATAAATACAAATATCAAACATCCACTTGTTCTATTTTTCTTTCATTAATGTATTCTCCCAAGTAAAGTGCTACTTTCACAGGTTATCTTGATGATATTAGCTGCAAATGCTGCTGTAGGGGTAATCACAGAAACAAATGCCGAAAAGGCTCTTGAGGTTTGCATGTGCATTTCTTCCTTTAGCATATTATTGACATGTACAGCCTCTGTCCCAAAATCATCTTCCCATGTGAAAATGCCACTCATTTTAAGACTAGGCTGACATTAAAAATGAATACTGTGTAGTGATGTGATTTTTTTTGTCCAGGCAAGTTGTAGCTAGTGGCTTAATAGCTTCGAAAGTAAAAGTAAGTATACCTGTAGATGTATTATTTAAAGTATAGCTGGTAAAGTTGTATTATTCTCTAAGTACTTTAGTGGGGGTAACTTCTTGGGGGAATAAAGACTATTTAATAAGTTACAGGGTAGTATTTTTGTTTGGTAATTGAGAGTGAAAGTGGCTTTTCACTAGTCTGAAATTTATAAAATAAGTAATGGAAAGATATCTTTAGGAAAGTAAAAAATGGTAAGTGGGAAGATTATATTGGGACATAGGCACATAGCCACGTAGGGAGTATTTGTGTGTGTTTATTGCCATACTATAGTCTGTTGCATTATTGACTTTGCCGTAATCCATTAGCAATATGTTTATGTTTAGCTATTAGGTTCTTGACATCAGAAAGGAAAAAACTAAATTATACTCAGTTCTATAAATGTGCGAGAACCAAGTGACATTAAATAGTAGAAATATCCATTATGCTGAAGTATAATTTTGTATTTTTCATGGTTTTACTATTGTGATTGACGCCTTCTTTCTCACTAATATTTTACTATGCCAATACTTTTTCTATAAACTAAACAATACTAACTGGGCCTTGATCCCAATTTCCAACTCAATGTTATTGGCTACATGGACCAATTGAAAATAACCCTTGGTCGATGGTACAGGCCTTATATTATACCACCGCTTTATATTTATTAATTTTGTTTTATCTATACACATTAAATATTTTTTCACCCATTCCGTATTATTCAATTTGCTTGTTTTTCCTAAGAGGAACATAAATGGAAGGATCTCTTGCAGCGAGGGGGATCTAGACAGTATTGCAGAGTATAAGTTTAGAGTAGAGGCAAGGTCTGCATACACACCCCTCTCCTGACCATAGTATTGTGGGATCTAATTGGGTTGCTGTAAGTTTGGATCATGTTAGGAATCAGAGATCAGAGGCGGTCAAGCGGAAGCGAACAAACACACACACACAAATAGCAGAAAATAAGAACACGAGATTTAACGTGGTTCGGTCAGTAACCTCCACGGGTTGCAGCTAGGGTTTATCTTTTATTAGGTGCTCACAGATTATAGTTACATGATTGGGTATTTATAAGATATAAACTAGGGTTAACAACTTGCTAAACAAGAAACAACTAATGGGCCCTTTAATTAATAACTAAAACCGGCCCCCCATGTTTCTTCCCTTTAGCCGACCAGGCTTAAAGCCCACAGCTCTAAAGCCTTCACCGAATAACCCAACAATCTCCCACTTGAAGGATTTCGCATAGACACAAATGCCATCCAAGTAAACCCATCATGAGTAACTCAGTAATCTTCACTG